TTAGAATATTATTTTTTACTGGGACTGCTGTTGATTTGTTTTAATCAGCCCAATAACCAGAAAACTTTGAGACTATACAAGTTATTTAAAACGTTTGTTTGTTTGTTTGTTTGTTTGTTTGTTTGTTTGTTTGTTTAGAAAATATATGTGCTGCCTAGTACTTAACAGTTCTGGACACCTCACAAAATAAAGTAAAAGTATCCATTAAAATAATCAATCATCATCATCACTATTGTGGAAAAGAAAAAAGTTTAGTTCATTGATATTGCAATACTAGGTGATGCACAAATTGAGGAGAAACAGTTAGAAAAAATAACAAAACATCATGATTTGCAAATTGAAGTTGAGTGATTATGGAGGAAGAAATCAACGGTTGTACCAATAGTAATAGGAGCCCTTGGAGCAATATCCAAAGGACTGCCTAAATACATGGAAATTTGGAACTTATTAGACCTAAATATTTTGACTTTCCAAAAAAAGCCTACCCTACTCAGAACTGCCTATATACTCAGATGCTACCTTAACAGCTCTTAGGCCCTTGGTTAGGATTTGAATTGTTAAGTTTTTACCAGTCTCAGACTGTGAATCAAATTGAAGATTAAATCTTAAATAATAACAATATAAAGTATGTGAATAAGAACAGAACAGTGATATTAAATAGTCTAGAAAAGGATGTACTGTATGTCCATTCCTCATCTGTAAAAAAGGAAAAGCCTACTTTGACTCCAGTAGCGATTTATTTCATAATAAGAGTCCTGCCGTGGACAATTTCTAACTGGTTGTGCATGCCAAAGATATATATGGCAGGACTCGCAATAGGTATTTCATTCACAATATGTGAGGGCAGGTGGACTATATAGTCCTTTTTATCTATTTATTTAGCATATGGCATATCATACATGGACTAGCAATATGTATCAAAATTTCACCTAGACTAGGAAAACACAATAAAATATAAATGTTAAAAAGATCTATGTTCAAATAACAATGTCTAGGCCATCTAACCATTGAAGTGCAGCATTGTTTATATATTTAAAAAATCAGATACTGGATCAGTATCTGCTCTCAAGTTTACAGTTAGTCATTATGTGATCTACAGTTTGACGTGGGGCCCCACAGTAATAAAGTACTTCAACTGAGTTGAGAAGGCCATCAGAATCCAGTGAAGATGTTTCAGCAAGGGATTGTGAGAATGCCAATTTATGATAGCGCTATTTATCATTTTTGTTGTCACATTCCAGGCCACTTGCAATTTCCAAACCAACTTTCAAAGGTTACCCCATACCAGTGGTGAAATCCAAATTTTTTTACTACCAGTTCTGTGGGCCTGGTTTGGTGGGTGTGGTGTGGCTTGGTGGGCATGGCTTGGTGGGCGTGGCAGGGGAAGGATACTGCAAAATCTCCATTCTCATCCCACTCCAGGGGAAGGCTATTGCAAAATCTCCATTCCCATCCCACTCCTGGGGGAAGGATATTGCAAAATCTCCATTCTCACCCCACTCTGGGGCCAGCCAGAGGTGGTATTTGCCGGTTCTCTGAACTACTCAAAATTTTCGCTACCAGTTCTCCGAACTGCTCAAAATCTCCGCTACCAGTTCTCCAGAACCTGTCAGAACCTGTTGGATTTCACCCCTGCCCCATACAGAGTATATTACAACAATTTCAGCTTGAGGTTACCAACACACAAATCACCAAAACTCAAGTCTCTCTTCTCCAGAATCGAAACAGAAAGGAACGATGTAGCAATTAACCAGTGGTTGTAGCTTCCTCCACCTTTCAATTATCTGGTATGCTATTTTAGAAATACTTCTTCAAAAAGTGGTCACAACACTGTAATTGGATGTCAGTTCTGTTCTTTACTTGCTCCTATGAAAGTCAAAGTGATACCCTGGTTAAATATTAAACTATGGCCTGAGAAACCTGATTTCAAATCCAAACTTCAGTCATAGAAACTAACAGGTGAGTTGGGTGAGGGTCTCCCTCTCAGTCCACCCTACCCAGCAGAGTTGTGAGGATAAAATTGGAGGAAGGGGTGCCCCTTTAAATAATCTTGAGCTCATGGAGAATCCTGTTGATTATGGTAGTGAGAAAATGAATGAATGGATGAATGAGAGACGGGATATTAAATGCAATATACAAACAGAAGTGTAGGCTGGATGAAAATGTTCTATATTTTCTTCAAAATCCATTTATCTTTAAAAATATCCAGATGGTTTTAATTTAATTATTTGATTGCATAAAGGAAAGAAAAAAAGATGGCATACTTATTATTCCTTGGATATGTGTTTGAGGAAATAGAATAGAATAGAATAGAATAGAATAGAATAGAATAGAATAGAAGAATTCTTTATTGGCCAAGCGTGATTGGACACACAAGGAATTTGTCTTGGTGCATATGCTCTCAGTGTACATAAAAGAGATACATTTTTCAAGAATCATAAGGTACAACACTTAATGATAGTCATAGGGAACAAGTAAGTGGGAAATGAGGAAAAGCAAAAAAAAAAGTGAATGTCTATGTTTTTTTTAAAAAAATAATATTTTTGATTGATTCCATTCCAACAAGTTTTCATCATAGCTTAACATGAGCCTAGGGGCAAATCTTGTTGAATCAATATGCTTCTTTCACACATTTCCCATTACCTGATGACATTTGGCACGTACTCAAAAAGCTTTTTGCTTTTCACGCAAAAATTACACTTAAAGTGGATTTCCAGTTTGTGACGATAGTCCTATTCTGTAGGGCATTTGGACAAGATATAATTGGGACAGGAATTGGTTCATTTTTATATAGTTCAGTGTATTGCAATAAATGAAAAATATTCTTGTACTGAGATATACCTGGAAGAACATATATAAAGTAGATAAATGAAAGCAACCTGTTAGATTAAACAAAAGAGCACCTAATACAACATAGTATTTCATGTAATGGCCAATCCAGTGGTGGGTTTCTACCGGTTCACCCCACCTCAGCTTTCAACTGAGAGTGAATAAAAGGGACATAATCTGAAACCTTTAAAGTTTATTTATTTATTAAATACATATGCCACCCATCTTACTATACAAAGTAACTCTATATATATAAAAATATATGTGCGTGAAAGCTAAGCGGATGGAAATTCCATTCTTTTTCCTCACTCTTCCTCACACAACCAGAGAAACATGTTCCTGCTTCCTTTTGTCCCTGGATGCCTTGGAGATGATTTACTGTAATATTTCACATTGTCAGGAAGCAGAGACAATGATGGGTACACCCATAGTGCTTAACTATTGTAAAAGGTTATTTGGCTTAGTTATGAATTCTATGGAATCATCCGTGACAAACTTGTTTTATGGCTTAGCATTCTGGCTAAATCAAAACTGAAGAATCAGAACAAGGAATAATTGTAATACAGAATAGAATAGAATAGAATAGAATAGAATAGAATAGAATAGAATAGAATAGAATAGAATAGAATAGAATAGAATAGAATAGAATAGAATTCTTTATTGGCCAAGTATGATTGGACACACAAGGAATTTGTCTTCAGTGCATAAGCTCTAAGTGTGCATAAAAGCTATAAGTGATAAATCATGATCATAGTCATCATAAAAATACAGTCGTCATAAATCATAACATACAACACTTAGTGACAGTCATAGGATACTAAATAAGCAAATATTTGTACTAAATAAGGATAAGGATATACTAAATAAGGATACTAAATAAGCATTGTTCACCCAAAGTCTGGTAAATTAAACAGAGACAAATCATACATGCACAGATAATATGTCAAGTCTATATGTCAAGATCTTTTTTTCCCCTTTTAGCTCACATTGTTCTTCCAAATGATTGAAAATGTCCTCTCTCCTCCTCCCCACCTCCTTGTAACATCACAAGTTTAATGTTGGCGTAGTCAAGATGGTTAGACTAGAAGCAAGGAACCCAGGTTCTACTGCACCCTTGACCATGGAAGCTCATTTGATGACCTTGGGTCAGACACTTTCTCCCAGCCTGACTTACTTGACAGTGTTGTAGATATAGAGAAAAAGAGAAGAGGGAACATTACTACTACTACTACTACTACTACTACTACTACTACTACTACTACTTCATCATTTATTTATTTATTTATTTATTTATTTATTTATTATATTTCTATACCGCCTTTCTCCCGTAGGACTCAAGGCGGTATACAGTCAAGAAAAATATAGACACACAAACATCATAAAATTGCTAATTAAAATTATTACTTAGTTTGGTCAATTAAATAAAACCCAGAATTAGATAACATTTTTAAAAAATCATTCACATGTTCATATGTTTAGCCCCGCCTGTTGAAACATCAGGGTCTTGAGGGCACGGTGGAAAGCACGGAGATCAGGGATATTCCGTATCTCCGGGGGCAGTTCATTCCATCATCTCTATTGTTAAGAAGAATTATTAGAAAGATAGCAGCAGAAACACTGAAAATCTATCACAGCAATATACAGTAGTTGAAAGATAAATATATATAGAAAATTGTATAAATATTGCCTGTTCAGCAAGTCCTCTCTAAAAAGCAAGCTGTTGCTTTGGAGTCCATGATAATATGGAGTCCATATAATATGAAGATTAATGGGGACCCTGTCCCAATAAAAGAGTCCAATTTACCATCTATAATTAACCTATGGAATTTGCTGCATTAGGTATGAAAATGATCATAACTTCAGTGGTCTTAAAAAAGGATTGGATAAATTCATGAGGTTTAAGTTATCAGCAGGTAGGAATTTTAATGTATTACTGCCTGCAGAACCCCTGGGGACAGACCAGTAGTGGATTGCCCCCGGTTCGCACCGGTTCTCTAGAACCGGTAGTAAAACCAGCAGGAGGCTCTGCCTACCAACACCAACATCACTAAAATGCTTCTGCATGCACAGAAGAGCGCGGCCCCACTGCAAACTAGTAGTAAAGGTAAGTAGAACCCACCCCTGGGACAGACCTTTAATATCAGTTCTAGGCAGCGGTGAAATCCACTTACCTTCACTACTGGTTCAGGAATGGGAGCGCGTGCACTTCTTCTGTGCATACGCAGAGGGTCAAAAAAGGACGTAATGATGTCCCGGTGGGTGGGCGGAGCCTCCTGCTAGCGTTGCTACTGGTTCACACAAGCCGGATAAATCCAGCTGGATTTCACCGCTGGTTCTAGAGATAAACAGTGGAAATGTTTATATGAGACAAATGTTGAATCAAGCAGGTTATTTTCTATGTTCTTATGTCTTTTTATTGAGCTGGAGTTCTTAATTTATTTTTCTAAAGGAGCAATTATCCAAATATACTCCATCTCTTTACTCCAGTAGAGCTGCCATGAACTTCCAATGTGTTGCAGCTTCTAGTCTAATGGCCACCAAGAGAAAATGTATTACTCCTTATGACTGTTTTTTTTTTTTAAAAAAAATGCTGGTCTTTTACAACAGAGGAAAGAAATAAGTCATCATAAGAAATAGCTTTCCTCTTTTATGCCTCCTGTGAAAAAACATGGGGCCAAAACGTCACAACCAAAAAGACATTTGACCCAAATGTCATAATATATCTTTTCCATTTTTCCCCCAGCATCACAGAGCAGCATTTTCTGTATTTATGTGAAAAGGGGCCATGACCTTGCTGACAGGGTTAATATCAGCCTGACATTGTTAAATTCCTCCTTTTCCTCCAGGCAGCTCATCACAGCGTTGAAATTCACAGTAGAAAAGCCTGAGAAACAAGATAGGCTGCAATAGGAAACCAAACACTGTCTAGGGAAAAACCCATCCTCCTCTCTAAGGTAAAGGGCATAACTCATCCCTGAAATGTGAATCATAGATAAAGAGAAAGAAAGTAGTTTTTAAGGAAATTGCATGACTTTTCCTGAATATTTTCTAAATATGGTGTCTTTCAAATTCTTTGCACGTTACTTTCTGTTAGCCCCCAGATAATCTTCCCTCCTTTATCCCTGAATATAGAACTATTCTCCTTATGAAAACAAGAGATGGTGAAGATCTGCATTTGATTAATATAATGCTTGAGTTGAGAATAAAGACAAATCAGAGGTGGGTTTCAGCAGGTTCTGGAGAACCGGTAGTGGAAATTTTGAGTAGTTCAGAGAACCGGTAAATATCACCTCTGACTGGCCCCGCCCCCATCTATTCTCTGCCTCCCAAGTCTCAGCTGATCGGGAGGAAATGGAGATTTTGCAGTAACCTTTCCCTGGATTGGGGAGGGAATGGAGATTTTACAGTATTCTTCCCCTGCTATGCCCACCAAGCCACACCCACAGAACCGGTAGTAAAAAAAATTGAAACCCACCACTGAGACAAATGTTTTGTGATGGCTCTCCTCCTTTCTCTGTGGTAGGTTCCAGTTGATGTTGGGGAGGGAGGAAAGGCAAATTAAGCCCAAGGTGTAGGGTGCTTCCTTGCTCAGATCTTTCATTGTTCCTCTTCAATATCTACATCAGACTACTGGAAAAGGCAGCATGGAATGTGGAATCTTCAATATGCTGATGATAACCAGTTATACATATCCCATGCTATAGTAACGTTATCCAGTATTGGCAGAATGCATGGGACCATAAGGTCTGGATAGGGAAGAACCAGCTTTGATTCAAACTGAAGCTTTGACTCTGGGTGTTTGGCCTCTTGGGTCTGGTGAGGTGTCATCTTTGTTTCTTGCTGGAGTAGCATTCCCATTGAAGACAGCTGTTGTGCAATTTAGGGGGCCTCCAGGACTATTAGCTCTTGCTTGAGGAGAGGTGGCAACCATAGCTGCCTATAAAGCCCTAGTAAGATCACACCTAGAGTACTGCATCCAGTTTTGGTCACCACACTATAAAAAAAATGTTGAGACTCTAGAAAAAGTACAAAGAAGAGCAACCAGGATGAAGGCACCTGGTTTTGTTGCTAAGACAGTGAGCTGCCAATAATGAAAGCAGATGTCCTATCCAGAGTTTTCTGTGCACTGAAATACCACCATCTAGTGGAAAGATTTTAATCTTGGTTGATTATATAATCCACATAGAAGGAGTAAATCGCCTTAAATCCGGGGACTAAAAAAGGTCTTTCAAAGTAGGTAGAAAAAGTAGTTCATTGCCTTTGGAGAAAATAAGTCTGCCAGGCTTAAATATAATTATTCTCTTTTTACCCTGCCACATAATTCTTTGCCTGGAGTTAGATATTACAGAAAAGCTAAGATGGAACTAAAATTTGGATCTGGTTTACAAAGTCCAAGGTTCAAGTCCACTTTTACTCCTTCTCCTATTCTCTCCCATCTCCAGTGCAGTGATATCAACAGTAGGACATGATTGTGAAGAAAACACCAAACCAGTGACTTGGGGAATTTAGTGGCAGAACCCTGGAGTTCCCCTTGGTCAAAAACTTGAATGAGCAAAAACAATATTCCACAATATACTGGTTATCTCTCACTAGAGTAAAATTCAGCGAGATTAGAGGGTGGGGGACAATGTTTGCTTTGCTTCTGGTCTTTCATATGTCAGGGTTCCAAGTAACACCCCCAACAAAAGAAAACTCCAAGGCTTGGATTTCCTCAAAGTTACATTTTATTAGAGATGTCATATTGGCACATCTGGGAAAACCCGAATCTGAAAGCTTCCAGGGTTTCCCCACCCAATGGAAAATTCAAGTCCCTGCCCAATACCCACAAGTCCATCACATGGTCCAATTACTGCATCCCAGCCTCCCAGTCCCAACTGGACCAGCCTCCCAGTTCTAGGTGCAGGGCAAGACGACCTTGACTTTCAGAGAAAGGAATCTTATTATGACTATGTATCACCCATGCGCCATACAATCCCCCCTCCCCGTTTCCCACGGTAGGAAATGTGGCAGGCCTGAAGGTACAACATCAGAAATGGCTTCCAGGCTGACATCATGTTTAGACCATCCCATGAGATTGCATGGCAACACAAAGTTTGACAACCCCTTTTGATCAATTACTATATGTCTAGAGTTAACTCCAGCCTGCAGTCGTCATATAATTACCTTTTTTTTGCTTTTATGCTACTGCCCAGTTTACTTGGGCCTGATATATACAGAAGTGACCAAGGTGAGTACGTAGAGAAAGCTGCACTTGTTGCCAGGTGTAATTCAATCAATCAAATGCACAATGCTAGGATATCTTTTACTGCTGAAACCTGCCCGCTTTCAGACCTTCCTTACTAATCATGGCCCCACAACTGTGATCATATTGTGAAGTTGGCAGCTTTAAGACATGTGGACTTCAACTCCCAGAATTCTGGGAGCAGAGCTGGCTGGAGAATTCTGGGAGTTGAAGTCCACAAGTCTTAAAGCTGCCAAGTTTGAAGATCTCTGCCCTAGAGCACAAGGAGCATCTGGGGGCCTTCAGTTGTTTTCAGTCCCAACCACTATGGGCAATCACAGAAGTTGCATGCCAATTATTTCTAAATCTTGTGATTTATGCAGATGGTGTTGTTCCCATTTAAAAAACCTTACGTTTATTTGTTTTCTCTGCATTGCAATAAACCAGGGATGGGCAAACCTGCAGATCTGGAGGCATATGCAACTCTGGCATCACTTTTTTCCCCAGAGCTTGGGACCTGGTCTCAGTACATCAGTAAATTTTTGTGGCAGAATTATTCAAAGCTGTCAGAACAGGCTTCTATCATTTTGAGGTCAGTAACACAGAAACATAGCACACATCTTAAAGTAGGTTTAGCACAATCTATAAATAAATATCCCCATCCTCCTGCCCAGAAAAAAAGGGGGAGGGGGACTCCTATTCTCCCATCCAGTTTATATCATTGCTCTGTCCTGTCCTTGCAACAAAAACTGATAATTTCTGCATGCATTGTATGCTTCTTCAAACATTTAGCAAAATGGCTTATTCAAAGATATTGCATGTACGTAGAAGCAAATATCAAGGAGTGGGATCTGCCACAAAATATAACAGCAGGGAAGACTCCATCAAAATCCTCCATTCCGTTTTGTCCAAGAAACATTATAGAGCCACTGATTCTACTCCACCATTACTGGGCTGTACTTTTAAAATAGGTTGAGGGGTCCTTGGTGCTCTCTGAGCTTGCTTGTTTTCTTGCAGATGTTTCATTACCCAAAACTAGGTAACATCATCAGTGCTGGAGAACATAGAAGAACAAACACATCAGGACTAGATTCAGCAGTCCATCTGCATTTAAAAGACAAAGGGCATTCTTTTGAAGATAGCAGAGTCCACATTTTGAACAGAGAGGACCACTGGTTTGAAAGAGGGGTTAAAGAGGGCATTATGTCAAAATTGAATAGCCCTCTCTCAACAGAAGGGGAGGGATAGGACACCATCTCCAATCTACAACTTCTTGGAACTTTCAACAGTTCCAAGAAAGCTCCACACCAATTTACACCATTCAGGTGACCCTGATGACACAGATAAGCCTCCAGGTGACCTTAACCACCTGCTAAAAATGCAAATGACCAGCCGACTACAAGGAGTATAAATCCTTCCATTCCCCACCATCCCGTCAGAGCTGAAGAAGCTTCTTGGATGAGAAGCAAAATGTCTTCAAAGAAAAACCAGAAAGTCCAGTTGCCTTTTGAAAAAGCACCTTTGGGACGATCATCGGTGCTGTTGATGCTACCTAGTTTGGGTAATGAAACGTCTGCAAGAAAATAACCATGCTCAGAGACTACCATCATGTCAACCCGGAGCTACAAATATTCTTTATTAGTAAAATAAGTTGGCTCTGTAAAATCTGGGGTTCCTCTGTGCTTGCCAGTTCTCCTGTTTGTATATGGAAGGTCCCATGTTGGCTTTGGAGGAGCCAATATTCCATCTGTGTTGTTGCTATCAATGTACTATGTGTCCTAGGAGCCCTGAGTTTTTTAAATAATATCCAACTGTTTGCCTCCTTCTCGTATTCGGCATCATTTCAGGGAAATCAAAACTGAAACCATTGGCTATGGAATGCTCTGACATTCTTATACCCTAATTTGGAGGAAAGCTTAGAGCTTTTACATGAGGTCACCCTTTCCGTGCTTGCTGAAAAAAACATCTATTGTGGACCAATGAGAGATAAAAGAAAGCTGTAAATCTCAAGTACAAAAACAACCCTCCCTTTTTGCAAGTTCACTGCTCTGTTTTAAACCATGAGAGACACAGGTCTGATTTAGGGCAAGGGAGTGAAAACTAAGCCAAATGAC